TTCTTTTTTTCTTCATTTCTCTTTTGACCTGCCTACCAACCTACCTGAAGATTTGAAGATGAAAATAAGTGAGCCATAAATATTTTTCCAAGGCCACTTTTAGTTCTCTGACTCAACTTCATCTTAAAATAATCAATATTCTCATCAATAAGTTTGGAGCCAGGAAAAAGAGAAAATTTGACAGCACGTGTGTATACAATCCAATTAGCCAAGGCAGCCCCTTACCTTCCACTGGGGTTTAGTGGCTGGCATTTGTTCAGAATGCCCACAAACTAGCCTTATTTTAGAGCTGTACTTGGAAAGCTGCCCAGAATAGAAATCCTAATTATAGGTCTAATGGCAGTGGCAGTATCAGGAAATGCCAAGACAGTTTTCAGAACAGGAGACTAATGAGGCTTATTCTATCTTTACTTATTTGGAACTTTTGGAAAAACTTAATAAGTAACCTTTGAGTTGCAGAAAAGAAAACTAGTACTTCTTCTAAACAATATAATTGAAATTTAATCAGTACCAAATGGAATTTCATAAAGCCACCTGATCTCTTCTATTTTAAATAGATTTATTAAACTATATCATTCTATGCAAATGGTAGTTATGGTCTTAAATTGTGTTACCAGTATGCTTAAGCATCTTTGTAAGTGGTCATGATACAATCAATCTCCTTTCCTTTGCTACTCCAGAAACTCACAATTCGGATATTTACCTTCTCATATTTAGCCAAGTATTGCATGTGACAACTTATGTTGACTTTTTCTTGCCTTGACTTTAATGAGAATTTTCTTCCTTGAAAGTAATGGCCCATTTTGCAGAATCTCATCAGAAAAGTTAAAGCCAAACCAAATTAGAATAGCCAAAACATTTCTAAAGCAGTGCAGAACAAATTATCATAATGCTTTTCTCAGCTTTAATAAGAAATGTACCTTCACTGAAGTAATTCTTGTCAATGGACAGCTTGGCATTAGGATTAAGTATTGGGATAAATCAAACTTTTGAGGAAATCCCAGCATCAGGAAGGAAAGGATTCTTAACTTTTAAAAATGAGAAACATTCGGAAAGCAGTTCTGAATGCCATTCTCGCTCAGGGAACCATAATGATGTAGGATCATTGTGAACATCTCCTAAAATGCATTATTTTCTTTTGCCCCATCTCTGAATATCTCCTTGCTTTTCTGGGTTTTTTTTCAATAGTTCCCTTGTTCTCAATGACAGCCTGCCTACTTTCTCATTTTTGTTTATCACGGTCCCTAAAATGAAGGATATAATTTGGAAGGCCGTCGTGGTAGGTTTCAGGATTTTGCAATTTGACGACGGCACATTGCTGAATGGTATGTGTGATACAATACCCGCGTTTCCCACCGGTAGCAACTCATGTCTTAATTTCAGGAAAAGAAGAAAAAGAAAAGACCAAAAGAGACATAAAACCTTCGAAAATAGTTCCACGTATATGTGAAAACTTAGCTGCATTAAGCATTTTACCAAACATTTTCACGTACTTTATCTCAAATGTCATCTTTTTGGCAATATGAGATTTTTACCAATAGAGATAAATCGTGCTAAAGAGATGTCTGAGCAAGGGAGAAAATAATTTGTATAGTACAGTAATTATCTATAATTTAATATAATAAATTGCCTATACACACACACACACACACACACACACACACATATACACACACAAAGGACCTATATGGTGTGTGTACATATGTACTTAAAATAACCTAAACAGTTAACATTATAATTTCCCACAAATAAATTACTTATTTTTCTTAAGTTAAACACAAAGAACACTTTCTTTCTACCTTTAAGCAGAAACTATTTTACATGCAACTTCCCAGGAGAGTCTTAGAAATGACAAGCCAAATCTAAGCCCACAGCATATGATCTGACTGTCAACAATCTGACTTTTGACCATTCATGTCATATTGTAAATGAAATGACTGCTTGACTAACTCTCTGAGATGGCAACCAGCTGTGCAATGGTTGGTTACTCATTGCATTTTAATTAGTATTTGCTCTCCATAAGAGAGGATTAAAATTGTTACAAATGTTTGCTAAGAAACTAAAACATTTTATTCTTGGAAGCATTTTTGACACCGTGTGTTGACATCAGAGAAAAAAAAAAGCAAAAGTCTCTATGACAATGTCCTTGGGCTGTAATCTATCAAACTTCAATTAACAATTTTAACTTGGTCTGTATTAGCGCTAAGAAAGATACTCTGAATTTAAGTTACAAGATTGTCGTCTTCATTTCCAACATGTTTTTGATGACTACATTGTAAACCTTTCTGATGCACATTGTAACAGAAAACAGTCAAGTTGCTTAAGACCATTTCACTGAGGAAGTAAAATACATTTTTGTGCAAAGGGAGGAATTAAATTGAAATTTTGAAAATCTGAGATATATATTAAAAGGCAATGATAAATTACACTATAGTTGTTTTCATCTTTCAGAAATGAGGAGCAGCCAAGATCTATTTTTACTTCATTTATCAGGACTATCACACAGCAACTTGATAGTTCTAAACAATTAGCCACTTGATCTTTTTGAAAGATCTTTTGCCTCTCTTATCTTTCAACATTTAAAATGATTTAAGAATACTTTTTTTTAAAGAAAATTGAGAGTAAAAGAAACTGAATTAAAGTTCAAGAAATATGAATATAGCTACCAGCCTCTTACTTTGCTCAGGATCATATGGGAAAGTCTATTTGCATTGAGATTTGATTCTTCCATGAAAAGCCAGATACACACTGTCTTAGTTTGAAAACATAATTGAGGTTCTTAGGCCTGGAATGAATAAAGGCCTTTCCTGTGTGGAAATAGCATCAAATTTAAAATTTCCATGTATTATGGCTATGTTTTTGTTTAGTTTGATTTTTCATATGGAAGTGCTTTTAAACTTACCTTACTATTGGGCTTCTTTACAAACCTCAATTTGAAATGGTCCTAAAGTTTTCCTCCTATTTTTTATGTTATCTAGGTGACTAAAATGAATGTGTACACATGAATGGCTTAAGGCTGTATTAGCTGGAATAAAAACTGGCACTTTGCTTATTCTTGTTTTGCTTTATTGAATCACAGAAAGTTTGGGCCCAAGGGATATAAATAATAGTCCACTTTTTTAATATTGCAAATGATCAAAGACATTTAGAAGGTTTGATTGGGTTACCCAAGGAGATGCAGGAAGATGGTGAGCACCTAACACATAATTGACAAAATATTCTCACGGGTTTCCACTATTCTACAGCGTAATTCTCCTAGACTTTTTTTGCTATTAGAAGTCACTCTTGGCTCCAACATTATCCAATCAAATTATTTTACTGAAGCTTTCAAATTCTGTGAAAGTTCTGATACATGAATATTTTGATACATCTTTTTACAAAGTTTAGTTTCACAATAAGATAACCGCACCTGAAGTCAGTCTAAAGGCAGATGAAACAATATCTCTCATTATAATTCTTGGGATGTTTCCTCATAAAGCTACTGGTTCAGATAAGAGTCTATAAATGACTAAAAACAAGGTCACAACTTTGAAGAGTAAGACATTTACTTACCTTACAGTCAGCTCTTGTCACAAAAAAATAAACCCTAAACCTACAGATATACAAAGGGCAGACTTTGATCAAAGGCAAATTTTATATTGCCATTGATGAGTTAGAGGTTCAATTAAATAGATTTTAGTAAACTGGTACAGCACTATGCATTATCATGCAACAGTCATGACCAAGTTCCAGCAAAATATAGCATATATAAAGAAACGCAAGACAATGAAATATGTCACTTTTTCTGGGTGAAATTTTAAAATGGAATCGTCATCTAAGCTTGTACTTATTGATAATTGATTATGTTTAATGACTTTCACATGCAATAGGAGTCTATCTTCCTATTTGTTTATAAAAAGTTACATTCACGCAAACAGTGCAATTATACCATTCATCTCTCAGGAAGAGATTTGGTCATTTAATTTCCATTTAATACTTTACACTTTAGATTATGACTAAAAATACTTATATCTGTTTGTTAAATAAGCATAAATAAGATATTCTCTGTTTTACTTCTGACTTACATTTGAAAATATAATTGTTGTCTCTTTTTCAAGGATGAGTGATCAAATAATTCATACAAATTACTGTGTTTCCTCCCATTTTTATGTTCACCATTAAAATCATTAAAATTTCAATAATTAATAATGATTTATTTCTGCTTGATACATAAGGTAATGACATGTAACTGGAGTTCCATTATGGCATTCATATAAATTTTTTAAATCTCTTTTAAATGGCTCATGTTAATTTAAACCTTAAGCTAATTTTATACCATTTAATATTTATTAATTAGTTTTAATATAACACCCAACATACTTCCAAAAATTATAAAACACACCTCACAATAGAAAATATATATGAAAAAAAGACTATTAAAATATTTTTAAAGTACACAATATAAGGGGAAGAAGTAAAATACTAAGTCCAAAGTCAGAAACAGTAAATGCCCAAAAAGCTATTATAATTGAGTACAGTCACACGCCACATAGTAACACTTAGGTCAATGGCAAACACATATGACAGTGGTCCCATTAGATTACAATGGGGATAAAACATTCCAATTGCCTAGCAACACTGTAGCCGTGAAAATGTCATAGCACAACACGTGACTCACCTGTTTGTCATGATGCTGCTGTTTCACCCAACAATACAAACAAAATGCGGCACTGTCAGCTGTACAAAAGTGTATCATATAAAATACACATGAAGTAGGCCCTCCATATCTGTGAGTTCTGCATCCATAGATTCAACCAACAGTGGATCAAAAATATTTTTTAAAAATTGCATCTGTACTGAACATGTATAGATTGGTTTCTTGTCATTCTTCCTTAAACAATACAGTTATAACAACTATTTACATAGTACTTGATATTACTGTCTATATTAGTCCACTCTTCCATTGCTGTAAGCACCTGAGACTGAGTAATTTGTAAAGAAGAGGGGTTAAATGGACTCACAGTTCTGCAGGCTGTACAGGAAGCATAATGCTAGCATCTGCCCAGCTTCTGGGGAGGCCTCAGGAAACTTGCAATCATAGTTGAAGGCGAAGTGGGAGCAGGCACGTCACCTGGTAAAAGCAGAAGGGAGAGAGAGACAGGGGAAGTGGCAAAACTTTTCAATAAGCAGATCTCATGGAAACTCATTCACTATCATGAGGATAGTCCCAACAAGATGGTATTAAACCATTAATGAGAAATCCACCCCCGTAATCCAATCACCTCCCACCAGGTCTAGAATCAAATCTCCCATAGATAATAAAGAATAGTAATAGTTGATAATGATAATAAATGACTATATTACTGGTTGACATACTTACTATGCTTTCGTTGTTCTTCTAGAATGTATCCCTTCTAGTTATAAAATTTAAAAAAATGAACTGTCAGACAGCTTCAGGCAGGTCCTTCAGGAGGTATTGCAGAATAAGGCATTGTTATCATAGGAGGTGACAGCTCCATGTGTGTTATTGCCCATGAAGCCCTTCCAGTGGGGCACCATGTGGAGCTAGAAGACAGTGATATTGATGACCTTGACCCTGTGTAGGCCTAGACTAATGTGTTTAAGGTTTTACCAAATAAAGGTTTTACCAAATAACTTTAAAAAGTTATAAATAAAATTAAAAACACAGAAAAAGCCTCACAAAACAAGAATATAAAGAAAAGTCTGGATGCAGTGGCCTATATCTGTAATACCAACACTTTAAGAGGCCAAGGCAGGCAGATTACCTGAGGTTGGGAGTTCGAGATCAGCCTGACCAAGATAGAGAAACTCTGTCTCTACTAAAAATACAAAAAAATTAGCCAGGCATGGTGGTACATGCCTGTAATCCCAGCTACTGGGGAGGCTGAGGTAGGAGAATCACTCGAACCTGGCAGGCAGAGGTTGCAGTGAGCCGAGATAGTGCCATTGCACTCCAGCCTGAGCAACAAGAACAAAACTCCGTCTCAAAAAAGAAAAAAAAAGAATATAAAGAAAATATTTTTGTATAGTTACACAATGTGTTTTTGTTAAGCTAACTGTTGTTATAAAATAGTCAAAAAGTTAAAAACTTTAAAGTTTATAAAGTAAAAACATTACAGTAAGTTAAGACTAATTTATTATTGAAGAAAGAAAAAATATTTTGTATGCATTTAGTGTTGCCAATGTGTATAGTATTTACAAAGTCTACAGTAAAGTACAGCAATGTCCTAGGCTTTTACATTGACTCACCACTCACTCGGACCCATCCAGAGCAACTTCCAATCCTGCAAGCTCCCTTCACAGTAAGTGCCCTATATAAATGTATACTTTCATTTACATTTCATATTGTATTTTTACCGTATCTTGTTTATGTCTAGATACACACATACCATTGTGTTACAACTGCCCACAATATTCAGAACAGTGGCGGGCTACACAGGCTTGCAGCCTAGGATGGCAGGCTGTACATGTAGGGTGGGTGTGTAGTAGGCCTTACTGTCTAGTTTTCTGTAAGTAAAATCTATGACGTTCATCTACAACAAAATCGCCTAATGACATTTATCAGAACGTTTCCCTATCATTAAATGACTCATGACTGCTCTAAGTTTAAATTTTACTTTTACTAAAGGCAAGGTGAAAGACTATTTAAAGCAATTCCATAGTGAGACTTCTCCCACCAGCATTTTCAAAAATCTACATGTATGGACACTCCCTTAAGCAACTATAGGCATGAAGCAATCAGCGGAGGCACATTAGTTGAGACAAAGTGCAGACTGGAAACATCTAGGGCCAAGTTTTTCCATCCAAATGGGGTCTGGGGGGCTTCATGGGGGTTTGGGGATTCTAAGCATGGCTTGGGAATGAGCTACAATGAAAAAAGCAGCATGATTATGGAGATAGGGAACTCCTATGATACACTACCTGCAAGCTGGAAAACCAGGAAGGGTGATGGTGTAATTCAGTCTGAGTCTAAAGTCTGAGAAGCCAAAGGCATAACTCCCAGTCTGAATGGAAAAGGCCATAGAACCAGAGGGACTGACATTCAAAGTCAGGAGATATGTGTTCCAGCTCAAAGAAAGAATTTGCCCTTCTTCGACCTTTTTGTTCTATTTGGGCCCAAGAGATCAGATAATGTTCACCCTTAGTGGAGAGGGAAGATCTTTATTAATCTACTGATGCAAACGCTAATCACTTCCGGAAAAACCCTTACTAACATAACTAGAAATAATATTTTACCAGCTATCCCGATACCCTTTAGCCCAGTCATGTTGACACATGAAATTAACCATCACACATACTCTCTCAGAATCCTGTACACTGAACATAGGCAGGACTGTTATTCCTGCCTTCTTTAGTGATTCCTTCTCATCCTTCCAGATACCATTTAAGCCCTCCTCTTCCAACAGGTTTACCTTCCTATCTCAGGTGGAGTTGATGACTAGGAACTAAGATGTATACCTTCATATTAGCATTTTCTATACTGTGCTTTAATTGTTGATTTATGTCTCTATTTTCTCCATCAGATGTTGTACCTATAATTCTTCTGTGCCTAACATATTATAGACAATAGATATTTGTCAGATTTAGGTTGAATAAATAAAGGATACTTTGGCTACATCTTGAAGAATGAATAAGATGAGAATCATGAAGGAATGATAAAGGCAGCAACACGTCTAAAAGTCTGAAAGCGTAAAATTGCATGAGATATACAGAAGAGTAAAGACTTCCATATGGAAACTCTTAATGCTCACTTCATCACACATCTACTAAATTCAGAACCATATGGTTATGGGATTTGCTCAGAAGTGGCAGACAAAAAAGTGGGAAAGCTGAGGACTGTAACAGACACTGTTGGTTGCTTGTCTAGTAGCCATTCCTTTCTTCCTCCTTCTAACAAAACCTGCATTTAAAAATGTACTTCAGGGACTGCTTATCCTCAGGTTCAGGAGGGAAGAAGTGGGCATCCTGCCATTCTAAGGCCACCAAGGTGGATACATTCGCCTTGTTGATAATGGTGTAGACCAGTGAGTATCTGATGCAACACACCCTTTCAAGTAGGTAAAAGTCCACTCATGCAATTACGACTGGCAGGTACTTCATTCATTTGTATTGATTATTCACTACACACTAATGGGAATAATCTCAGGCTATTACTGCTACTACCTAAAAATTGTCGTCTACTGAGCATGCTCTCTTCCAAGCACTACAGCAGGTGTTTTACACACCTCATGTATAAAGGAGCCTTATCAGCAAGGTCTTTGCTGAAGTGAGATCAGGACTGAAAACTTCTGGACAACCTATCAATGTTTACCAACCAAACCATTTTGTTCAATAAAATCCAGCACATCTTGACCTCAGTTACTATAAAGGGAAAATACCTCTTTTTCACATATGGTGAATTAGAAATCAAAGTAAGAGACAGAGAGGAGAGAAATGAGAAATTTTATTAGACAGCTTCCTTCTCCATCTCAACCCTGTTTGCAAGGGAGAACATTCTGTATGACCTGGTATTCTCTAAATAAATGTGGCATTGATTTTATGAGCCCACCATGGCAAAGGCTTGGCTGCTCCAAGACCTCTATTTCAGTTACATGTTACTGCTTACTGGTAAGCCATCAGGCAGAGGTGAGCCTAAGATGAGGATTAGAGATTACAGAGTCTCAAGATGAGGACTGCAGCAGATTCTCTTTCTGATGGGAATCAGCTCTCTTAGATTGTTCTCCCTCCAGTTCCTGCCCACAGCAGTGCCAGCTTGTCACAGATTCCTCTCCTTAAAAGCAGAAAGAGGAAAAGGGGAAGTGAGCTCATGTGAAGAGACCACATAAGACAGGAGGCCTTGTTTTATAAGGATCTGTCTCCTGATTAATCCACTTCCCTTGAGAAGTGGTATCCTCGAGAGAATACCAAAGTTTCTTCCTTGCCTAAATGTATAGGTATGAGTGCGTGCACTGACAGAAGTAGTATATGACAGATTTCTTTGTATTTAAATTTGAATGATACTGAAAATACCAAAAATTTGAAAATTACCCATCAGTTCATCACTTTAAATACCACACATGTGTACTTCAATACACATAGACCCACATACATGAAATAGGAAGCAAGCATCTACCTTAGCTCCCATTATGTTTTAAAATGACCATATTAGAAGTTTGGTGAGTTGCCACAGGGGTATGTTGGGGGGTAGGGGGCCAGGGGGGGACAGCGGGGGTGGAGAGGATGGGGAAGGATAACACTGGGAGAAATGGCTGATGTAGGTGACCAGAGGATGGAGACAGCTAACCACAATGGCATGTGTGTACCTGCGTAACAATCCTGCAAGATCTGCACGTGTACCCCAGAACTTAAAGTATGATTAAAACAAAAAAAAGAAGATTGGAGTGTTGCAAGTTTTTCTATGCTAATGAATGCATTTGCATATATGCCTATAGATGCATGTGCCATTTTTACACAAATATAACCATGTGAAACACTTTGGTCTACAGGGATTTTTTTTCCACATTAAAATGTATCACCAACATTTTTCTGGTCAGCATATGCCCCTAATTTTCTTGTGGCTGTGGTGTATTCTCTTTCATGAATGTGGCATGATTGATTTAAGCCATGCTTGCTATGCCATCCTACTCCTTACAATATGTTTCAGTCTTTGGTAACATCTAATTGGTAATCATCACATCTTTTTCAAAATGTTTTGGCTATGTTGTCTTTATTTTTCCACATGAAGCTTAGAATAAGTTTTGAAAGGTTAAAGGAAAACAAACACCTCATTTAAATTCATATTATAGAAAATGTAGACATTAACATGAGATGAATTATCCAGTCAAAAAAAATTTTTTTACATCCAGGACATGGCAAGCTTTTGCATTCTTTAACGCTCAGCTTGTTTGATTGGCTTTATGTTCCCAAATAATGTTTTGTAATTTTTATCTTAAATGTCAGACATGTGTAAGATAAATGGGTGCTAAGATGCGTCCACAGAAATTTTGCAATTTAGCCCATCACATAATTTATAGATAAAAGATCAAATTAGCAAACTTTGTGTTCCTATTCTCAAATAATTTCATTTATTAATATTTTAATAGCTGCAAAGTGGCACCTGTTTTTCTCATT